TGTCTAGTACCATCTTGCCAGTCTGATGTTCTGCATTTCTGCTTGGATCCGGGCGGCTGTAGGCAATAACCGGCGACTTTGATTGCTCTAGAGAATCTAGTTTTCTTAGTTGGCCCGTTTTAGGCACCTCAGAACCTCCAGATGATTCACCATGTGGCGGATAGTTTTGGTTTTCTCTCTCTGAACTGTTTTCTGTACAGACGATCTGTATGGGGACCTTCCGCCCAGCAGTGTTTGGCTCTGATGTTTCCTCCATCTTATTACTGCAATAGGGAACAAAAATTGGCAACAATTATCATCTTAAAATGGCTAAATATATGCCGATTAATCGTCCACAGCTTATTAGGGGCTTTCACACAGCGTAGTTCTAGGAACTAGCCAGCAGGGTGGTTCCTAGAGAACCAATTTCTCCCTCGGGCCGTTTTCCTGGTTGCATTCACACGGTAGCAGGAACTCTGAAGCGGCCGACAGCGACGTCTTTATGCACGGCATTTACAAACGTCAACAACCGATGAATGTAGCACGCCGTGATCAGAGCTGTTTTTGTTGTGTGTCGTGGGTTTCATGATAATGGATATAGAAGGTAAATGCACAATTTGTGCGATTAAAAGAGCAAAAAATTGGGCTAAGAGATTAAATCTCCTATGACAACTTGCAGTGTTACACATCATTGAGGCTAAGGAAAGAACACAATGCTGCAGACAACAGGTAAGTTCTAGGAACTACAAAAAAGGTTCCTCTGGTGCGAAAGCCCCTATTGTCTTATAAGTATCTAAAACTCTACTTACCTGCATGGATCCTTTTTCTGCACAGCTGCAGGTGGTTCATCTGTGAGCCTCTGTGGAGAGAACTGAGGAGAAGGAGAATGTGTTCTGCTGGCTGAGGTTACCGTCGGGTCAACGTTCTGCTTGGGAGAAATGGAGGAATGACCTAAAAGATGTAGAGAGTGTGATAACATCCCCTCAGTGTCTGATCTCTGGTTGTCCTCTGGTGCAACGATTGGGCTTTTGTCTTTCTCCAGATGTTCTGAAGGACATGGTCCTTGAGTTGGCTCAGGGGAATTGGTCTGAACCCTAACTTCCTGGGAGGCTCTGAAAGGGCAAGTAGTTTCCAGCTGTTTGGGTTGGGCAGACCTCTGCTGTTCAGGACTTTTGTTTTTAGGAAACAGCTGCTCTGACATTGGAACCTGGAGATGATGTGAGAAGAATGGTGGAGAATGCCTGGCATCAAGTCTGGGTTTCTGGTTGGAGGAAAGAGGCGCCACATCACTTTCCAGAATGTTCAGTGTGATGGACTTTAGAGGCTTGGAGATGTTGAGTGGACCATGCTCTCTTTCGGATACACTGTGATGTTGAAATTACAAGAAAACACACTAATTATCAGTCTGTACATTAGCAAATCACTGAAAATATAATAATTTCAGATTGCTCACAAAGACAAGAAATCCTAACCTAGAGATGGGGGTCTTCTGTTGGTCCTTGGGTTCAGGCGGAGTTTCAACAGGAGACTTTCCGGGTGGCAGAGGGATTTTCTGAAAGAAATGTGGATCCATTTACACGGATGCAAAAGATTCTTCTACCTGAAGGACAGACTAGCCCTTCTTAAAGATTATATTACCCATCTTGATCCACTGTGCCAGCAGCAAACTATTTATGACTATTACCAAACAATACAACCTCTCAATTATCTGCTTCTGCAGAGAAACCATGGTGCATCTAAAGAAATGTAGACCATGTTCAATTACCAACTTTATGAAAAGACCACCAAAGAGATTTTCAGTATCACGACAAAACAACGAATATTCTTACCTGTCCGTAGAAGTCAGCAGAAGGGGAGGAACGGGATCTTTCATGAACACACACTGTGCTGTTGGATTCCTCCAAGCCTGAGTCCAGGATGTTTTCAGCTGAATGATATTTGCCTGTTGTTCTTCTTTCCACTGGCTTCTTCTGCAAGTTCCATGTAGCTTCATATTCCGCAAATGTACCGAGCCGTTGCTGCTCTTCTGTATTAAGGTCAGCATGACTTGATTTACTCTGTTTTAAGGGAGACTGACTGATGCTTTCACTGTCTCCAGTTAATCTAGTCTTTCTCTCACTGTGGTTTTCAGTGGGGCTTAGCAGGGTTTGCTTTGGAATGGGCTTTTGGAGAACTGGTTTGCAGGAACCTTCGAAGAACTTATGTCGGTCCACAAAGGACCCAGCTGCCTTATCCTCAACTCCTACTTCATTGATCTTGTCCGGTTCAGAGAAGGAATGTATCTTTTTATCCATTGGAAACCTTTTACGCCCCCCAATGCGAGTGACTTGACCTTGAACAGGCACAGGTTTTTTGGGAAGTTGACCCGGCGCAACTTCATTCCCAGGAAGCTCTAGGTCCCTCCTCATAAACGATGTGGCCTTCAGAACTTTGGCTTGGGCTTCCTTCAGATGATCCTTGTACGTGTTGGTGAAGGAACCATCAGAAGATGATGTGGAGGTCTCATTGGACTTCCAGATGTCAGAGTCCTCCTCAACTTCACTTGAGCAGGTCAAGGTAGCGGCACTTCTGCTTTTCTGAAGCTGGGCCCTCTTCTGTTGGATCTCGTTGCGTAGAGTTGTGGCATAGCGGTCACTCCGTCTTCCTTGTTTGCCACCGATGGCATCAGTTGATTCTTGACCTCCTCCTTTGGCTGCTACCGATTTTTCTGCCATCTTCTTGCTCTCCTGGGCCAAAGAGTGCAACATGGGTGTCTTGTGTGGACAGATCTTGTGATCCTGCTTGCTGATCCATGGATTGTCCTGGTGGTAAGTAGACACAGAGTTCTTCTGTTCCATCTGGTGATTTGGTACATGCCTGGAAGGCTGCAGTTTGACTCCATCTTTCTTCTTTGGAGTCTCTCTTTCCCCGGAGCTGGACTTTGAAATCAGATGATTTGGTAAAGGGGATGTGGCTTGAGATAAAGGAGGACTGATGGCCTGTTTGCTGTAACCGTTGGAGTTCTTGTTCTCACGTACACTGAGGTACGGCTGGGTATACTTTGTCTTCACAACCTTTTGAGAACCAACAAAGGTTCTGTTTGTGGCACCTTGGGTGGCTCCCATTTCAGACCTCCGTTCATCTCCCAACCAACCCTGCGGAGGTGATTCCAAGGATGGCTGCTGGGCAGTGATGCAGTAGTAACGGAAATGAGCCTGGCCCTCATGGTTAGGGTCAAAGGCCATGGAGGTTCTGGTTTGGTTTCGACTGCCGGTGTTGGTGGGCAAATCTTGAAGACTTCGGTAGTAGCTCCCAACACTTTGGGTCTTTGGTGAACATGCAGAGTTGGGGTACGCAGAAAAGGTACTATCATCGCTGTGCTGTCTCTGATGCTGAAGTTCATATGTAAACGGGTTCTGGCCTTGTCTAACATCAGTGCTTGACTTGGAAAAGATTTTGGTAGGGATTAACTGATTAGGGTAGTCCTTAACCAAAAGATACGGCTGAAGAAAGTCCTTTTTTGGAGGTGGATTGTAGCCGTGTCTCGCTTCATGCCCGTCCAAATGTCGGTCCACAGCTCTGCAGTGAGGTTTCTGTGACGGATAAACAGAAAGTCCTTCAGGGAATGATCCCACCAAGCTCTTCTCATGAACTCTGGTGGCAGTGAAACTATCACTACGCAAGGGTGGAGAAGGAGCTTGAGTACTGGACATCTTGTTCTCAGGAATATGCCACACAGGTCTATGGTTGGATCTCCCATTGGAGGAGAATTTGGAGCTAGCTTGCTCCTCCACGCTGGGACTCACTCGTCCACCATTGCCAACTGGGATCTGTAGGTATCTATGGAAGTCATTGGGAACTCCTAGATCACTGGGAATGCCTCTATAAAACGTCCCTTCTGTGCTAGCCCGAGGTGCACTATGGCCAGCTTTGCCTGATAAAAATGGGTTACATGCAGAAGTAGGTTTGCTGATGGTACTCTCAAGCACTGGGTGATCTGCTCCACCACTGGATTTGCTCAATAAAGGCTGCTCTTTTGAGAAAGCGTGTGATGAGGGCTCTACACTTTCCATATTTCCCACAGAGCTTAACTGGCAGGATACTTGTCGCAGATTGGTCTGTCCCCAACAGCTGGTGAAGTCTTTTGAGGGTGACCTGGTACAAAACAAAGCAAATGAATGATGTTGACTGGAGTTCAATTTATATCAATTACATATAAACCCTCAGAATCTCACCCTGCATCATATTTTGTCTGCCAAGTGGGGTCAGGTACAGGGTCAGGTTCAGATTTGGGGGTGTCGATGGTGGGGTTATCTGTGGATTTAGAGGAGTGCCACGAATGGGGTCTACATGACAATTCATTCCTCCTGAAATAAAAATAGAAAACTTTACTACTTAAAATGAGTTTTAGCTTTAAATTACAGCATTGTGAAACTTCCAGACTACTCTTCCAGTTTGGTCTTATTCTATTGGTCTTAACTCCTATGTATGTCTGCACTATCATGCATGTTTGCACTATATCTGTACTTTCTTCTGCACTGGAAGCTTCTGTCGTCAAGTCAAATTCCTTGTGTGTGTGTAAACATACTTGGTAATAAAGCTCTTTCTGACTTTTTTTTAATTGCAACAATACTTTGCGTATCAATTATACAAGTGGTTAAAAATAAGGACAGATAAACATTTGAAACAGATAAATAGAAATAAATAATATTACCAATTACTAGATAAATACATTTAAATCTACATATGATAAATAAACATGATGAATACAGAATTTTACCATATTAAATACCAGCTCGATGTCTAAAAGGCCTGTTGGATTATATGTGTATGAATTATTAAAGAATAAAATAAAGCAAAAACTTTATTTCAAATAAAAGTTAGTTAGGCTAAGTAAAGAGGTTAAGCATCAGATTATATTCAGAAGAAGAGATCTGTTTTAATTTTAAATAGGCTATCATGAATTGTGAATAATATAATGCAGTCCTTTAGTAGAATAAAAATATTCATGATAATCACTCATTTAGCAGCAAGTGACATACCCTTTGAAGCGGTTTTTCCTGAAATGCATGTGAGGTGGGAAAGGAGGGGGAAAATCAGATCAACACAATAAACACAAGCAAAATATTTGTTTATTTTTGACATATGATCAACATTCATCAACAAGCAGGAAACACTGAAGATGCTGCACTGGTTCTGCAGAAGCCAGTGAAAATGACACAAGATAATCATTTTAAGCATATAATCCCCATCTTGCACGTGAACCGCACAGCTACAGCTAAGACGGCACATGGCAAAGGATGTGATACTCGGGTCTCGGGTCTACAGGGTCAAGCAGGGCTGGGGTCACGAGACAGAGGCCAAAAGCTGCACGATACCTCATTGAACTTCTTAAAATCTTAGTGAGAACATTTCTGGCCACATGTACTTCACTTTCTGCAGGCATTGTTTGCATTACAATATCCACCATTTTAACTTTCCTGAGCAACAAGGAGAAAACACATATACATATATATACATATATATATATATATATATATATATATATAAAGGATCCGGGTACTGAAATGGTCAGCCTGCAGTCCAGATCTTTCACCCGTAGAAAACATTTGGCGCATCATAAAGAGGAAGATGCGACAAAGAAGACCTAAGACAGTTGAGCAACTAGAAGCCTGTATTAGACAAGAATGGGACAACATTCCTATTCCTAAACTTGAGCAACTTGTCTCCTCAGTCCCCAGGCGTTTGCAGACTGTTATAAAAAGAAGAGGGGATGCCACACAGTGGTAAACATGGCCTTGTCCCAACTTTTTTGAGATGTGTTGATGCCATGAAATTTAAAATCAACTTATTTTTCCCTTAAAATGATACATTTTCTCAGTTTAAACATTTGATATGTCATCTATGTTGTATTCTGAATAAAATATTGAAATTTGAATCTTCCACATCATTGCATTCTGTTTTTATTCACAATTTGTACAGTGTCCCAACTTTTTTGGAATCGGGTTTGTAGATATAAAACGTCGCTTTGGATAAAAGTGTCTGCTAAACGCATGTGATGGTCTAATAAATAAAATGTGGTATATAAAAATATATGTGCAGTAACTCAATTTATTATAGATATTATATTTAATTTGTAAATAAAGACAATACATAAATCATATTAAAGCAATAAGCCCCAAGAAGCCATGGTTTACAGTGGAAAACATAACCTAAAATCCCTTTAGCTGTTATAAATTCACTGTAAAACCACAGCTTCACGGGGGTTATTGCTTTTATAAAACGGTTATTCCATATACGTAGTAAGGTTTCACAAAATAAAACAGAGCAAATAAAGTGTAATGATATTAATAAACACAGTATTCTTCCACCAAACAATGTAGCTCCTCAGAAACAGTTGTGGTTGCTACAAAGTGGTTGCCGAGCAACACACAGAAGTAAACAAAGGTGTGTGTTACTTTGTAGTCATTTACAACAGCTTTGAACGCGGCTCAGCCAATCAGAATCAAGCACCGGAACTCTCCGTTTTATAAAAATAATATCAAAATAATGTATTACAGATTATACAGTATTAGCCTCGTCTACCACTATTGCATATTGTGATGAAAGTGTACCATCATCACTTCTACTGTATTTATAACATCAAACAAGCACGCTTCACTAATTCATTTCCAGTCTGCTCGGGGGTAACTGGGGTAAAGCTCGTTCCCGGACGGACAGAGGCCACCATATGCTGAACAACAGAGGAGCGACTGCATGTGATCAGTGGGAGCTTAGAGTCTTTTAATCTGTCACAAAGGAAGATGAGCAACTATGCATTCTTCTCAATCTGGCGTCTGTCTGAGAGAACGACCGTCACGTCAGTTACTAACTAAAACTGAGACTAACTTTAAAACCATTTTACTCAAAAATGAACTGAAATAAAATACAGTATAAAAAAACTAATTTCAGCTAGTTTACTAAAACTGTAACTAAAATTAAAATGAAAATCAAAGTATTTATCTGCTTCGAAAGATTAATTGTTAACTTAAATAAAATAAAATATTAAAAAAAAACTTTATTTCAGCAAGATGCCAGGGCAACATTTCTCATTTTAATTTAGTTTAACTTGATGTACTTAAATAACTAAAACTAAAACTAAAGGAAGAAATTAACAAGAACAAAAAACTATATAGACATCAGTAGTTATTTTATATATATATATATATATATACTGTATATATCTATATAAACTGTATATATTATATATCTACTAAAAATGACAAAAACACACCAAAATTACTAAACTTTAAAATTAAAATCAAAACCGCACATATACAACTAAAGTAAAAAATAATTTAAAAAAATATAAACTACTAAAAATGACTAAAACAAATGGTATCGAAATGATACTAAAATGTAAAATTATTTGCACTTATCCTATATTATGTTGTTGCTGGAAAAATATTAAATATTGATGTAGTTTATGTAATCGGGTGAAGATGACTCTTTCAGGTCTTTCAGAAAAAGCACAACTTGAGTCGCTGCAAGTCACTATACAAATGCAAATAATAGAAAAAGCACTTTTTTAAATAGAGAGAGTAGCCATCGCAAAACTGACTGCTTGCCTACATTGTCAAAGCAAGTTGGAAATAAAATAAAAGACTAACCTTGCAGCCTATCTAACTAAATTCTAGCTAGAATAGCTGATCACTGAGTATCTCTCAAGCAGAGGTGATCTGGCTGAAAAACACTCACGCGTGTTAACTTTAACTCACTTTTGCATCATATGCTGGATTGTTTTTGTAGAGCAAAATCGAGAAATGCATGACAACAAACACTACAAATAAAGAACAAAACATCAATATACTGAAGAATATGGACAAACTTACCCAGTTTCTTCACGGTAAACCTGGTTTAAAGTCTGAAAAAAAAGTTGTTTTAATTAATGTCTTGACAGCACTAACTTTCCTCGGCTGCTTATTTGATTTTAAAGACATGTGGACTCACAGGAACCTCTGGAAATCTCAAGGCATGTGTGGAAAGACATGCACCTAACAGCTGATGTAGGTTAAACGTCTGGCCTTTAACACACATACCTGTATACGCTCAAAACTCGGAGTATGATGCAACAGAAGCATCTGAAACAACACAAACAGTGAGTATGTGACTGACGGCGCATCCCATGCAGATTTCTTTAAGAGATTATAGACGTCTGAGACGGGGAGGAATGAGGTGTATTATAGTAACAGGCTCTGAAATCGACTGATCTGATTGGCTGAAGGTCTGTCACATATCATGAGCAAATAAAAGCAGAACTAAGAACAAATAAACTGAAATATAGACACATAAACATTTAAAATAAATAAATAGCAATAAATAAATAGCATTATAGATCGTTAATAAATAAATAAAAACTATATATGAATTAATAAATAACAAATAATAAATGTAAATCTACTTAATAAATAAACATTTAAAATAGAGTCATAAATAAAAAGCATAAATATTAACAATTAATAAATAAATATAAATATTAATTAAACTAAAATAATAAATATAAGTTACATCTACTTAAGAAAAAATAAACAATTAAAAATAAATAAATAAAAATAAATATGAATAATTAATAAATAATATAATAATAAATAGAATGTAAATCTACTAATTAGTATTAATATTATTTTAAGAAAAATTAGAAAAATTTATATTTGAAATAGCTAAAGATAAAAAAAATTATAAAACGGAGAGTTCCGGTCCTTGATTCTGATTAGTTGATTATATATATATATTTATTTATTTTTATTTTATTGTTTTTTAACAATGAATGTAAATATATGATAAATAAACATGATGAATGCAGAATTTGAATATATAAAGTAACCGTACTGTCTACCAAAATTACTAAACTTTAAAATTAAAATCAAAACCGCACATATACAACTAAAGTAAAAAATAATTAAAAAAAATATAAACTACTAAAAATGACTAAAACAAATGGTATCGAAATGATACTAAAATGTAAAATTATTTGCTCTTATCCTATATTATGTTGTTGCTGGAAAAATATTAAATATTGATGTAGTTTATGTAATCGGGTGAAGATGACTCTTTCAGGTCTTTCAGAAAAAGCACAACTTGAGTCTTTTGGCTGCAAGTCACTATACAAATGCAAATAATAGAAAAAGCACTTTTTTAAATAGAGAGAGTAGCCATCGCAAAACTGACTGCTTGCCTACATTGTCAAAGCAAGTTGGAAATAAAATAAAAGACTAACCTTGCAGCCTATCTAACTAAATTCTAGCTAGAATAGCTGATCACTGAGTATCTCTCAAGCAGAGGTGATCTGGCTGAAAAACACTCACGCGTGTTAACTTTAACTCACTTTTGCATCATATGCTGGATTGTTTTTGTAGAGCAAAATCGAGAAATGCATGACAACAAACACTACAAATAAAGAACAAAACATCAATATACTGAAGAATATGGACAAACTTACCCAGTTTCTTCACGGTAAACCTGGTTTAAAGTCTGAAAAAAAAGTTGTTTTAATTAATGTCTTGACAGCACTAACTTTCCTCGGCTGCTTATTTTTCCAGCCGTCACATTCCTCTGATTTTAAAGACATGTGGACTCACAGGAACCTCTGGAAATCTCAAGGCATGTGTGGAAAGACATGCACCTAACAGCTGATGTAGGTTAAACGTCTGGCCTTTAACACACATACCTGTATACGCTCAAAACTCGGAGTATGATGCAACAGAAGCATCTGAAACAACACAAACAGTGAGTATGTGACTGACGGCGCATCCCATGCAGATTTCTTTAAGAGATTATAGACGTCTGAGACGGGGAGGAATGAGGTGTATTATAGTAACAGGCTCTGAAATCGACTGATCTGATTGGCTGAAGGTCTGTCACATATCATGAGCAAATAAAAGCAGAACTAAGAACAAATAAACTGAAATATAGACACATAAACATTTAAAATAAATAAATAGCAATAAATAAATAGCATTATAGATCGTTAATAAATAAATAAAAACTATATATGAATTAATAAATAACAAATAATAAATGTAAATCTACTTAATAAATAAACATTTAAAATAGAGTCATAAATAAAAAGCATAAATATTAACAATTAATAAATAAATATAAATATTAATTAAACTAAAATAATAAATATAAGTTACATCTACTTAAGAAAAAATAAACAATTAAAAATAAATAAATAAAAATAAATATGAATAATTAATAAATAATATAATAATAAATAGAATGTAAATCTACTAATTAGTATTAATATTATTTTAAGAAAAATTAGAAAAATTTATATTTGAAATAGCTAAAGATAAAAAAAATTATAAAACGGAGAGTTCCGGTCCTTGATTCTGATTAGTTGATTATATATATATATTTATTTATTTTTATTTTATTGTTTTTTAACAATGAATGTAAATATATGATAAATAAACATGATGAATGCAGAATTTGAATATATAAAGTAACCGTACTGTCTAAATGGCCTGTTGGATTTTATGTCACCATATTCAGAGGTGCAAAATAATTTTTTGTATTAATTTAATAAAGAATAAAATTCAAAATTTGACTTCTTTGAAATAAAATGTATGCTAATAATTAAGCTAACATTAGCTGTCATTCAAAACTTCATCATCATTATTTTTCAACTCTTCACTCACATTATATTGGTAAAATATGCTATTTAAAAATGAATTAAATAAGATTAAATAAATTAAAAATGTAAAATTAAATTAAAATGCAAAAGAGGTGCTATCAGACTGTTAAACTCCATTGTACTCGTGTATAATGTGATCTGAGTTGTGATTTTCTACAAAAACTGATTTTGACGAAGCCCCGACAATCAGTATTTCTGAGCGACAAACACAGCATTCTTCTGAAGAAAGTGAAAAAAGTGATTTGCCAAACACTATGAAAACAGCTCAGCTGGTGAATCAGGGTGTTAACGAAGCGCTGGCTGAGTTCTCGTTAGCGGAGTCAGTGTGATGATCCTGGACTGAAGCCTGAATGCAGGCAGACGCACACACGACAATAGAAACGCAGTGATAATCAGCAGCGGGATTACTCCTCATACAGACACACAGAGCCCAACATACACCAAACATACAATACACACTCGCATTTCAATGCATACGCTGTCAAAATCACCACTTTAACAGTAAGAGACTGTCAAATGCAATAGTAAGTGGTTAATAGTACAGCGACAATCTGACTTAGAGCTAATGGGACATTTCATGTAACGTCACAGTAATTTTACCATCAAATGTGGAAAAAGTATCTTATAATTTACAGTGAAAGAACATAAACGGACAGAATTCCCTGTGTGATACTTTACATTTGATGCTTTTATTATTATTATCAGTTTTGTCAAAATAGGGTTTTGTGTTACATCTTATGTTGTTAAATTTTGTTTATTAGTATTCTCCTCAGCTGCTTGTGATGAACTTTGATTTATCATGCGGTTTTCTCTTTACTGTCTTGTTTTATGGTGGTTGTCAGTATATTATAAAGGAAAACAGTCAAATCAATATATTTCAGTTAAGGAAATACATGTTTTTACATTAAATTTAAGCTTAATCTGTAAAACTCCTGCAACAACATAGAAAATCATTTTAGTTTCTGTTAATAAAACAAAGATTATTTGGAGTATATTTTAAAAGAAATGTCAAATATTTCTACTGTCACACTCACACACACACTCACACACTCACTCACACTCACACACACACTCCCACTCACACACACACTCACACTCACACTCACACTCACACTCTCACACTCACACACACACACACACTCACACTCACACTCTCACACTCACACACACACACACACTCACACTCACACTCTCACACTCACACACACACACACACTCACACTCACACTCTCACACTCACACACACACACACACTCACACTCACACTCTCACACTCACACACACACACACACTCACACTCACACTCTCACACTCACACACACACACACACTCACACTCACACTCTCACACTCACACACACACACACACTCACACTCACACTCTCACACTCACACACACACACACACTCACACTCACACTCTCACACTCACACACACACACACACTCACACTCACACTCTCACACTCACACACACACACACACTCACACTCACACTCTCACACTCACACACACACACACACTCACACTCACACTCTCACACTCACACACACACACACACTCACACTCACACTCTCACACTCACACACACACACACACTCACACTCACACTCTCACACTCACACACACACACACACTCACACTCACACTCTCACACTCACACACACACACACACTCACACTCACACTCTCACACTCACACACACACACACACTCACACTCACACTCTCACACTCACACACACACACACACTCACACTCACACTCTCACACTCACACACACACACACACTCACACTCACACTCTCACACTCACACACACACACACACTCACACTCACACTCTCACACTCACACACACACACACACTCACACTCACACTCTCACACTCACACACACACACACACTCACACTCACACTCTCACACTCACACACACACACACACTCACACTCACACTCTCACACTCACACACACACACACACTCACACTCACACTCTCACACTCACACACACACACACACTCACACTCACACTCTCACACTCACACACACACACACACTCACACTCACACTCTCACACTCACACACACACACACACTCACACTCACACTCTCACACTCACACACACACACACACTCACACTCACACTCTCACACTCACACACACACACACACTCACACTCACACTCTCACACTCACACACACACACACACTCACACTCACACTCTCACACTCACACACACACACACACTCACACTCACACTCTCACACTCACACACACACACACACTCACACTCACACTCTCACACTCACACACACACACACACTCACACTCACACTCTCACACTCACACACACACACACACTCACACTCACACTCTCACACTCACACACACACACACACTCACACTCACACTCTCACACTCACACACACACACACACTCACACTCACACTCTCACACTCACACACACACACACACTCACACTCACACTCTCACACTCACACACACACACACACTCACACTCACACTCTCACACTCACACACACACACACACTCACACTCACACTCTCACACTCACACACACACACACACTCACACTCACACTCTCACACTCACACACACACACACACTCACACTCACACTCTCACACTCACACACACACACACACTCACACTCACACTCTCACACTCACACACACACACACACTCACACTCACACTCTCACACTCACACACACACACACACTCACACTCACACTCTCACACTCACACACACACACACACTCACACTCACACTCTCACACTCACACACACACACACACTCACACTCACACTCTCACACTCACACACACACACACACTCACACTCACACTCTCACACTCACACACACACACACACTCACACTCACACTCTCACACTCACACACACACACACACTCACACTCACACTCTCACACTCACACACACACACACACTCACACACACACACACACACACACACTCACACAAATTCCTATAGAGAGAACTATGGCAGTGCAATGATTACACCTGCTCAAAATGAACTAGCTGTAACTCAATTAAAACTGTCAATGAGTTTGATGTGAAGCTAAAAACTAATAAGCTTGAAAAAGAGACTGAGAAATGAAACTTTATTTCACAAAACAAGTTTTGTTTAAGGTAAAACAAAGTCGAAAAAGGACATGCAAACATCAGCACAACCACTAGATCAGAAATGACTAGAACTGAGAACAATCAAAACATAAAGAAAATCTTTAAGGCAAGACACTACATAGGGTTAAAAAGCGTGAATAGGGTTAAAAATGCAACTAACAGATATCACCATACTTCTACATTTGATTATTTACATTATCACCTGCAAGCAGTTTTTTGTATTGCAAGTTTTCATAAATATTATGTTTAAACATACAAATAAGGCATACACAAAAACATATACAAATATTTATGAACTAATTTGCACATTTCCAGATTTCTTGTTTGATTTCGTTGACATATTAGAGTTAAAGGTTTTTACAGAGGGAATTTTGGATTTCTCTTTTTATCACTCCATAAATCAGAAAATACTGTGAAACAGACTGAAAAAAATTCATTTACACCGTTTTTTAGGAATAAAATGTATAAATCAGTCTTAATGATATATGAACAAACCCCTCAGCAAAAGCCTTCAGAATACAGATGGGAATAAAACTGTAAAGTTTGGTGTAAGTGCTGCTAAAGTGGAGAAAAAACGTTGTATTGTAGTTGAAATCTACTTAAATGCATTTTGCATTATTTTTTTTCACTAGTCTGAAACATGTTTTGAAAATCCAAAATCAAACCCAAAACCTCAAAATTGACCAGTGCATGAAAAAAACAATGGTTTCTTGCCTACAGTAGTCTCTGCCAAAGTCATCTAATTGTGAACTCAAAGATAACGTATCCCCAAATGATCTGAGCTGCTCTCCACAATCATTGTACAGCTCTACTGTTTCTGAGGCAAAACTGAACATAAATAAAACATTAACGCCTTTAAGCCTCCCGAGTTGTGAAAGAGAAGCATACAAGCAACAAAATTACTCACATTTTCAATACAATAAAAATGAAAATGGTCAATCTAAAAATAAAAACTAATAGTAATGCTAAAATAGCATTGGTCTAGTCTGTATAATATCATTCTGACATATTATTTTCTGTCATATTCTCAGGTCTCTCACATTTAAATAAAGATTAAGCTCTAATTATTATAAATAAAATAACACATTGTACATTTATTTGCATGTAAAATACATTACTTATATATTTAAATAATTATTGGTTTTGGGCATCACCAGACTTTTATATTATTACTAAATTATTATTTATTGTACCTAAAACTAAAAATATAAAAAGTAAAGTAAAATATTTATATATATAAAAAAGCTAGATACCAAAGCAACATTCATAATTGTCATTCAGTTTAACTTGATGTACTAAAATAACTAAAAACGTAATCAAAAATAAAACATTATAAAATTGACTATACGCATGTATATACTGTATATATACGTGTGTGTGTGTGTGTGTGTGTGTGTGTGTGTGTATATATACACACACACACACACGCACACACACACACGCACATATATGTATATATGTGTATATATACTGTATATTACAACAACTTTCAAATTAAAGTGACAACAGAAAATATAGAAACAAGGTCTAATTCTAAATATTATTTAAAAAAATAACAGTATCTTAATGATACTAAGATAAAACTGGTCATTACCACATTAATTTTATTTTATACAATTTTAATTGACTTTATTAACAAATCAACTGGACGTATCTAGGTATCATAAATGAATAAATAAACTACAAAGCAAATATACACACATAACGTACAGTGTGTAAAATGGCTTCAAGAGCATAAAGAGCAGATACCTGTTGATGTGAATCTAGCGGATCAGAGTTTGCGGCTCCATAGTGGAACGGGCCTCGGTCCTTTGCTTACTATGAGCCCAGAGACCAGCAGAAAAACAATGAGCTCACGGCCAGCAGCCAATCACAGCGCAGCATAAACTCACCTAGCCAGCGGACTCATCCATTTCTCTAAGCACTAAGCAGAGGGGGGATTATAGTAAAACACACAGACATGTCTTACACAGACATCACCATTATAGCGTAACTGGAAGTCAGCAGTGTCACATGCACAACATCTCCAGAATTAAAGTATGCAAACCTTATTTGATCTGGCTGTGTGTGATGTGTCTGTAGTTTTCCTCCTGGTAAATCTTTGCTGTGAGTAGCCTAATTGGATTCAGGGTTCAGGTCAGCATCGACTTAGATCACATGAGCTGACTCTGATGCCGTAGTATTGATCAAATTGTTTTGAGTTTTATGTTTTTGTCATATGCTTGATGACTTCTGCATTTCTGTACATAATGTTTCATCCACTTTGGACAAAGCCACTACCATTCTAGCACTATATTATGAGTTTTTAAGTTTGAAATACAGTCTGAAACAATCTCCATAAAAACATCCGATGATTGGTGCTATAAAGCCAGAATAAAAAAATGTGCACAAGTGTCGGACGTTTCAGTCTTTAGTTCAAAAATACAGGAAATTTGTGAAATTGAATTATTTTTTTTAAATGAAACTAGCAAGTATTTTTTGCACACCTTCAATATCTGTGTACATTGCTGTAGCATTATAAAAGAGTTTAGACATTTAAGTAACGTAAATATGTCATTGCATTAAATGCAACATATTAAAACAAATGCCATTTATTTTAAAAGCTAGAAATTAGAGAACAATTAAAGTTGCCTATACACCAGTCAAAAGTTTTTGAACAGTAAGATTTTTAATGTTTTTTTAAAGAAGTCTCTTCTGTTCAACAAGCCTGCATTTATTTGATCCAAAGTACAGCAAACCAGTAAAATTTTGAAATATTTTTACTAGACTATTTAAAATAACTTTTCTATTTGAATATATTTTAAAATGTAATTTATTGTGATTTCAAAGCTAATTTTTTTAGCATCATTACTCCAGTCACACGATCCTTCAGAAATTATGATGTTGAAAACAGCTGAGTAGAACTTTTTTCAGGTTTTTTGATGAATAGAAAGTTCAGAAGAACCGCATTTAGGCTATCTGAAATAGAAATCTTTTGTAACATTATAAATGTCTTTATCATCACTTTTGATCAATTTAAAGCATCCTTACTAAATAAAAGTGTTCATTTCTATAATTTATTTTCCCAAAAAATTAAAATTATACTGACTCTAAGCTTTTGAATGGTATAGTGTATAATGTTACAAAAGCTTTTTATTTCAGATAAATACTGATCTTTGGATCCTTCTGTTCATCAAAGAATCATAAAATAAATTTTAATATAATTAATATAATTAATAAAATTAATTAGTCTTCCCATTAACACCATTATATTGTTCATTCAGACTGATTCGCAAACGCAGAACCAATCACAGCCGAATATAACCAGCCATATCCAATCATATTGCAATGGAAGCATTGTCTCCTCTCACATGACTTTCCCCCATTCATTCTCAATTACCCCCCACCAATGGCATGAAGGGAGGCAAGCCTCTGCTGTAACTTTACCTGCGGGTGTCGCTGTTGGTCAGTGTTACTTTATAAAAACGAACAACTTCTTTATTTTTCATCTCATTTCTGTCTGGACCACTATTGTCAAAGATGATTGACAATTAGCATACAGTTTGGATTGGCGGTATGGTTCTGTTCTGGGCAAGAACTCCCTGCGTATCCATGCCTAATCTTTGGATGGAGCATAGCTAGTCCCACCGGGCTTAAACTCGGGCAGATGATTCCCAGAATGCCTCTGATGACGGCAGCCCACCAGCTGTTCGAGAGCAAACACGACCCAAAGGCCCCAGACCCGCAATAAAAAAACCTGATGGGCCGTGATGACAGACAATGGCTGGCCCTTGGGCCTCTTTAGTGTGACGGCGTGAAGCAGCACACAATAATGACGCTACTGTTGTTCCACTCAAATGATGGTGTCACCTGCCGGTGATTCTGCCGTAACACCGCTTCAAACTCCAGCACAACAGAGAGCGAGAGCTGCAGCGGAGCTCACAGGACGGGATTCTGCTGCTTTTCTGTGCCACATTTACTTCATTTACAGCATGCTTATGTTTCAACCAAACACAACATACAAATGTAATACAACAAACTTAATGTGGCTAATGCAAATCAAAACAATTCTGAGCTTTTTTTAAGTAAAATAAAATGAGTTGTTGGCCAGGGTGTTGCTATGCAGTTGCTAGGATGCTCAGGGTGGTTCCTAGGTTGTTGCTATGAAGTTGCTAGGATGCTCAGGGTGGTTGCTAGGGTGTTGCTATGCAGTTGCTAGGATGCTCAGGGTGGTTCCTAGGTTGTTGCTATGAAGTTGCTAGGATGCTCAGGGTGGTTGCTAGGGTGTTGCTGTGCAGTTTGCTAGGATGCTCTGGGTAGTTGCCATGATGTTGTTATATAATTGGTAGGATGTTCTGGGTAGTTGCCAGGGTTTTGCTATTCAGTTGCTAGGATACTATGAGAGGTTGACAGGGTGTTACTATGCAGTGGCCCTGCGTGGTTGCCAGAATGTTGCTATGCATTTGTTAGGATGCTCTGGATGCATAGCAACACCCTGGCAACCATCCAGAGCGTCCTAGCAAATGTGTCTCTGAGTAGTTGTCAGGATAATGCTATGCAGTTGCTAGGGTGTTCTTAGTAGTTGCCAGGGTGTTGCTATGCAGTTGCTAGGGTGTTTGGGGTGGCCTAGGCATTGATATGTTTTTTTACGAGGACGCTGTGGGTGGTTGCCAGGGTGTTGCTATGCAGTGGCTCTGAATGGTTGCCAGGGTATTGCTATGCAGTTACTAGGCAGTTCTTAGTGGTTGCCAGGGTGTTGCTATGCAGTTACTAGGGTGTTCTTAGAGGTTGCCAGGGTGTTTATATGCAGTCTCTCGGGTGTTTTTATCCTGTCTGAGGTGCAGAAAGCCCATCCTCAAGTTTCTGTGATTTTCTGGTCTAAACTGGCAAAAGAATATTATTAATAATGTCATAAACAGGCTGAAATCATGTTACACCAGGTTAAGTAGAAAAAATCAGGCTAAAATTTTGCCCTGGAAGAGAATAAAAATGTAACTACCATATTAATCAGACCCCTTGCTGACTCAAGCACTCAAATCAGATATATGCACCTAGCAAAATCTCTGTGCGGTTGTGTAATATTCACAGTGTGAGTGTCATTTCCAGACAGTTATAGAGTGAAGCTACACCTTCCGTCAGACGCTGAGGAGAAACTCGACACTGCGTGACCCAGCCCATCATTGTGGCTCCATCTGAACACAGAGCACATATTATGGTCTGGCAAAAGTATCAACAATGAACCCGTCAGCATAACAACGAAATCTCAGAGGAAAACTGGAATGCTTGAGTTCAGATCCAGAATGATTCTGACTAGGGCTGAAACAAATTATGATTTTAATAGATTATTTATTTATTTTTTACATTGAATCTATTTTTTTTTTTCTGATTAGTCAGTAAATCCTTACCAATAACCTTAGTTAACTATCCAAGAAAATAACCATAACTTCTGCCATTAATCTTTAAATGTTTAATTTAAACATTTTCTCATAAAATACTTACCTTAAATATTTTTTTTAAATCCCAACATGAAAAAATAAAGTGCCAACAATTAAAAGGCATCTAACAGTAATACAAATGCGCGTGCTGCATTCACCATTGCTAGGATGCTCTGGGGGTTGCTAGGGTACTCTGGTTGGTTGCCTGAGTGTTGCTATGAGTGGTTGCAAGGGTGTTACTATGCATTTGCTAGGATGCTCTGTGGTTGCTAGGGTGTTGCTATGAGTGGTTGCAAGGATGTTGATAGGATGCTCTGTGGTTGCTAGGGTGTTGCTATGGGTGGTTGCCTGGGTGTTTCTATGCATTTGCTAGGATGCTCTGTGGTTGCTAGGGTGTTGCTATGGGTGGTTGCTTGGGTGTTGTTATGCATTTGCAAGGATGGGCTGGGTGGTAGCCAGGGTGTTGTGATGCATTTGCTAGGATGCTTTGGATGGTTGCCAGGGTGTTGCTATGCAGTTGTTAGGATTCACTGCTTGGTTGCCAGGGTGTTGCTGTGGATGCTCTGGGTGGTTGCCAGGGTGTTGCTATGCATCCTAACCCATTTTCTTGAAGCCATCTTCAAGAATCTGCTAAAAACACATCTCTTCCATCTTTATTTGATCCTCTAACTCTAGCACTCTCTATTCTAAATCGATTTTATCTATTTTTTTTAACACTTGACCCTCTAACACTTGCACTCTCTATTCATTTTCTAACTGCTTGTTTTCTTTATTAAAAAAGGCCTCTAACACTGCTAACGTGTACTGCATTAGACTAACCGAGACTTGTCGCAGCACTTACATATCATTGCTCTTTTGTTGGTTTTGATTGCTTCTATTGTCCTCTTTTGTAAGTCGCTTTGGATAAAAGCGTCTGCTAAACGACTAAATGTAAATGTAAAAATAGGATACTCACGAGGAAAACTTCAGGTGTTTTCAGAATTCAAAATTGCATATTATTTATACTATTTCTGCCGTACATTTATGGGACAGAAATAGTCTGGTTCTAGTATGCGATTCTGAATTCTGCCAGAGTCTCTGTAAGACAGGAGGTTTGAAGGGACATCAACTAAATAGCAAGCAAACCAACAAATTGGGTCAGTTTTGATTTTACGTGGACGTCAATACTGAATCCTACCGTTTTATTCCCAGAGTGAGCGTCTTACGTGAGCTTTTCACCAGACAAATGGCCTCCAGTCTGTAACCGCTGAGAAGAACCGAGTTCACACTGACTATCTCGTCACCGATCTGGAGTCGACCCAGCGCCGCTCGACTCCCGTCCTCCACCTAAACACACAAACAAACATCAGCACTGTCAGCCAGTGCAAGAACATCGACATCTGCTTTACTGCAGACAGCAGTGTTGGGAAGGTTACTTTGGAAATGTAATAGGTTACAGATTACAAGTTACTGTAATAAGTAGTGTAACTATTTCAATGACTTTATTAAAGTAACTGATTACATTTGATTACTTTTTCATTACTTCTCTAAATTTCTAATCATTTCCAAACATGTAAAGCAGGCAGGGTTATCTTTACAGTAGAACTCAACACTGATTACTATCAGACTTTCAGAATCCTTCTTCACTTGAATTAAGATTATGATCAATTAATTTTAAAGCACAGCCACCAGAGAATCAGACTTTAGCAG